CCTTCTTCCATCCCAAACCTTCCAAACCAAGTCAATGTTTTCTCTCATTGAGAAGAAGGAAGGGAAGGAGGGAGGGAGGGAGGGAGGGAGGGAGGGAGGGAGGGAGGGAGGGAGGGGAGAAGAAGGGAAAGAGGGGGGAGGGAAGAAGGGAGAGAGAGAAAGGGAGGGAGGGAGGGAGGGAGGGAGGAGGAGGAGAAGAAGAGGATGAGGAGGGGAGGAGGAGGAAGAGGGGGAGGAGGTAGGGGAGGAGGAGGGAGGAGGTAAAGATGGCAAAGGACAAGGTATGAAGAAGTGGGTGTGGGAGGAACAGAGTGTGGACCCTGAAGAAGCCCCCACCTCCCTGTCACAGTGCACTTGGTCCAGCACTGAGAGTCCAACAGGAAGACAGTCTGACGCTTATAATTTCATGACTTCTCCATTGAGTATTTCAGAAGTCAGGGTGTATGTCAACATATTAAAATGGGGGTGTACATATATACATAGTTTAGCTGGGATTCACTCTTCCCTTTTCACTCTTTATTAGTGGGTGTCTAGAACGGTTAAACCCTCAGACACAGAAAGACAAAAGAGTGCATGGGACGGCATCTAACAGCACAGACGTGGAGATTTCAAGGTGGAAAGACCTGTTCAGGTCGAGGAAGGATGCAGTCTGCGCCAGTGTGGACATGCTTAGCCTTTCTGCACTGTACACTTCAAACAGCTAAAACGGTGATTCTGTAACTAAATAAAACCACCCTTGAGAGAAAAGTCAGTGTCCCGGGGCTGAAGAACACAATGCCACGGCGTCAGTTTCAAGCGTCCCCACCTCCAGGCTCCCAGCTGGTGGTGCTATCCAGAAGTCAGTGTCACGGGGCTGAAGAACACAGTGCCACAGCGTCAGTTTCAAGTGTCCCCACCTCCAGGCTCCCAGCTGGTGGTGCTATCCAGAAGGCTGTGGAATTTTTTAGGCTTGGAACCTCACTGGAAGAAGTGGGACCCTGGAGGAGGGCCTGGAGTCCTCTGCTTCCTAGCTGCCAACCATGTGACCGGCAGCCTCACACTCCCATTGCCACGGGTTTCACACCAGTGCACTGGATCCCTACGTAAATCCCGAGCTAAAATAAACCCTCCATCTTTAAGTTGTTACTGTGAAGTAGTCTGTTACAGCAAGAGAGGTATCTGAGACACACAGAATCCTGGCAAATCCCCAACTGCAAAGGAGAAATGGGCCCAGTAACAAGTAAAGGAAGTTGCTACCTATGGGAGGAGGGCAGCGATGGGTGAACCTGAAAACTAAGGAGTGTTTAACTCCTAGATGGGTGTCTTAAGATGTGTCTCCACGCGTGGGTAAAGGGAACCGTGAGGGGCCTGAGCTAACACGGGCGGGGCACTCCTCCCTGAGCCTGGGAAGCAGCAGCAATTCTCATAGACTGAGAATCCCATAGGCTGCCTTTCCACAGAAGGAGAGGACCTGGCCCCACCACAAGGAACCATTACTGATCATCCTTGCCGTTCAGTTCTGGTGGAGACCAGAAGCTTCTGAGTCTGCAAAGGTTCCCATGACACTTTACAGTCACTTGTTAATGACGCCAATTAAGCAATTACTGTCTTCTTCACGCCCAGCAGTGACCAGCTTGGGAGTCCACGTCCTCTAAGAGACGCTAATCTTCTCATTAGTGCGGTGGGCATCTGCACTTGTAATTATCACTCTGCCAGGTCTGGAGCACCTTTGCTTTCCCAAAGGATCCAGGTTACTCCTTTACTAATTGCTGAAGCCTCCCTAATTATTTCACATAATTGGTAGCTGGATACCTGCCTGTCAAGTCAGCTCTCAGGATGGGGAATGAGAACTTGAGGCCTGCCTAGGACACCCAGGCTCAAGCACACAAAGGGAGCCGGATGACAGAAAACGTGTGCCAATAGCTCAGCACACTGAAGGGACACAGAATGTGAGCACGGACCTGTCTTGACAGTGTTTCTCTAACTCTATGCTCCTCAAGAATAAAGACGTGTATGATCCAGCACTCAGTCTCCTGTAGCTGGGGTGGGGTGGGGGAATCTATCCAATAAGAAACTTGCTCAGTTACTGTGGCAGAATAGAATCCCATTATAACATGAAACGTTACAGTGTGCTACACAACCATTACTAATGGAGGATTGTGTGTCTATCGAGCCCTAGATTTTTATTCTCAAGACATGGTCTCTCTGCACAGCCCTGGCTGTCCTGGGACTTGATCTGTAGACCAGCCGGCTGGCCTCAAACTCAGAGACCCGCCTGCCTTTGGCTCCCTAGTGCTGCAGTCAAAGGTGTACGCCACCCCTGACCAGCCAAGCCCTAGATTTAAGGCAGCAAATAGAAGCATGTATCTGAGCCAAGCACATCGTTTCTCTTTACCTTAGGTCTAACTTGCCCTGGAATATTCTCACAATGCTTTCCCTAACCCAAGCATCTGAGGATCAGGACCCGGCGCGGAACAGCAGATACAGTGGTGGACTGGTGGGAGAGAGGGTCTCATGTTTTTGCTGTTTCGACTGAGGCAATCTCACAGTCAGTAGAAGTTACAAAAATTCCGTTTTCAAGGAAATGAGTGAAATACTAATTTAATGTCTGCAAATCAAGGATTCTAACCTGTGAGGTAGAACATAGGAATGAGGCATTACTGGCCAGCTTCTGAAACGTTAAGCAATCATCATATAGACCTATCTTATTTCTACATTTCAAAAATAAAAATAGCAATCCCAAGTCACATTTTTTAAAGGGTAAAATGCAAATGTGTACAACTGAGACTTCATCTGTGAGATGTGCACTCTCTGGACCGGCGGGCTAGCCTTGCTGACTGGTCTCAGAGTCGCAGGATTCCAGCGGCCAGCCTCCCGCAGGGCTGCTCGGCTGCTCTCTGCAAGGCCCCTCTTTTCATGTGGGCCTGGGGTGTTCTCAGACCTTGGCAAACAAGGCCCATCTTAAGCCTGTGTCCTGTAAGTGATCTTAGTTACATGAGTTACACAGCAGCACACTGAGACACCCCAGCTAACATTAAAGCAACTGTCCTGGGCTTCTGGGAAACCCCAAGAGCACTGCCCACGATCACATTAACCATGTCAGCAGACTCTTCAAGACGGGGTGGCCAGTGCAGAGCAGAGGCGGGAGGGGCACCTTCATGGCACCCCAGGGTGGCCAGTGCAGAGCGGAGGTGGGAGGGGCACCTCCACTGCACCCCAGGGTGGCCAATGCAGAGCAGAGGCGGGAGGGGCACCTCCACTGCACCCCAGGCAGAGTATTGTTAAGACTGCCTGCAGGTCTTAACAATACCATTGAGGACCAACCTCTCTCCCTCCTCAGATCTCAGGAACACTCAACAAACCAACAGGCATGTGTGAAGAGAAGTGCTTTGAGCACAAGTCAATTATCCACAAGTCTTCTTAGCCATGGCTGCCACTGATGGCCTCCAGGTGTGAGTGAGGAGAAAATCCTGTGCCAGTGATAAATTCCTTTCTCACTGTGTGCTGAATGTAAAGACACAGGAAGTAGGAATGGACTGAGCAGTGAGTCAGGGAGCAGAGAGTTTCAGGGCACGAGGCGACTCCCAAAGAAAGCAGCAAACCTGAACTCATCCCTGCGCGGTCTCTCCCAGGGCAAGTGTCAAGTCCCATGCAGGGCGCATCTGTTTCTAAAAGTGAACCATCTCAGATCCTCTCCTCCTGAAAGATGGTTTCACTGGTACACACTGGGCGGAACCAAGACTACCAGGCTCAGGTCTGGACTGGCTAGGGCCCCAGAATCTGTGCAACGTTTCAGCAATAGGTGCATTCAGACTCTCAGACCTGGCAGCTCTGTCCTCCAGTTTGCCAAACAGACCTTAGTCTTTACATGCAGTCTTCATTAGTCCATATGAAAATGTGACCAAGTCACATGCTTGTGCACATAACAATGCAACCAAGTCACAAGCATGTGCATATAACAATGCAACCAAGTCACAAGCGTGTGCACGTAACAATGCGACCAAGTCACAAGCATGTGCACATAACAATGCAACCAAGTCACAAGCGTGTGCACGTAACAATGCAACCAAGTCACATGCTTGTGCACGTAACAATGCAACAACGTCACAAGCGTGTGCACGCAACTTAACCATCATGTCACCCTCCTTATCTTCTCATGGGCATCTGTCTTTGTGTTGTTCTTTAGATTTCCTGTGCTCAGCATGTACCAGACGTGATATTTACCACGGTGTCTAGAAAGAGAACTCACCTTTCACATAGGACTACCATTCCAAGTCAGTGTTAGAGTCAACAGAAGCGGAGGTGACATATGGTCACGACCCACTAGATGGCACTTTTCCTCAAATATAGCTACAAACTACTTCTTTCTGAAGAGTTCACTAACCGTACTTCCTGTTTGGAATAGCCACTGAGCTCTTCACAGGTGGCCCCACCTTACTGTTACTGAGAGAGCACCTGCTCCTGCAAGGTTCTTTTCCTCAGAGAAACATTAGCTTTAAGGCATTACCAGGTCATCTGAATAGCCTAAAAGCCAGTCCACCTTCAGACGTGGACTTGGGCAACTGTTGGCACCCATACAATACAGTGTCTTTCCAAAACCCATCTTTAGGGGCTGGAGAGATGGGGAGGTTAAGAGTTACATGACCTGTGTTCTCAGAAGATGGTTCGATTTTCAGCACCCACAAGGTGACTCACAACTATCTGTTGTAAGACACACACACACACACACACACACACACACACACACACAAAATCTGATACCTTTTTCTGGGCTTACAGGCAACTGCATGTACTTAGTACACAGACATATATACAGCAAAATATTCATACCCATAAAATGAAATAGGGGAAATTTGTAAGCTATCTTTAGAGATAAGAGGCACTTGGTCTTACATTCTGCCTTGCAAGGTTTATTATTATTTTGCTTTGTTTTCTCTTGTTTGATCTGCTAGCCCACATCTCGGGTTTGCAATCCACAACAGAAGACTGGCAGCTGAGGGACAGAGTGTGCAGAAGCCTACCATCTGACTCTGAAGCCACTCAACCAGCGTCTCTGCCGTTGAGTCTGGGATCTGGCATCTCAGCCCTTCCTTCTCGTCCGTTTCCATCATCTCCAACAATCCACGCAGGTCTTCCACGAGGTGTAAGGCTCGCAAGCTGCCCATGAACGGAGAGGTGGGAGACTGGCAATCAAAAATCCCATTGGAATATTCCAAGGCTTTGGAACCTGGTTTTGGAAAAACCAGAAAGAGCAATTGGATTTATGTTAGGTAAAATATGACACCGAGAAAGATAAACCAATCAAGTCACCAGCAATGGTCACAAAGAACTGGGAAAGGACAAAATCATTCAATCGTGTAAATCTCTCCAAATATTACATAGTTGAAAAAATTTTAAAAATGTCATTGACAGTAAATATGAATGGTGTGATGCCTAAGAAGAAAGCCAGCTGCGGGGACAGAAGAAGAAGGAACACAGGCTCAGGAGGAGGTAAGAACGAGGTGCACGACCGGTTCAGGTGGACTCATGACTCCCAGAGCATGAATTTGAGACACGAAGTCTTCAAATTCCCTGAAATTGAGTATGTGCGTAAGTGGTAATGCTCAATGAACTGCATGTAGCTCCGTGTATGTGAGCGTTTGTGTATAAGCATCTCCTCAGTCATTCTGTTTATAGCCCTAGCATCAAACTTCTAGTTAACATTAGTTAAAAATCACTGTTCTGAGCCACATGTGGTGGTGCGCACCTTTAATCCCAGTTCTAGGGAAGCAGAGGCAGACAGAGCTCTGTGATTAAGAAGCCACCCTGGTCTACATACGAGTTCCAGGTCAGCCAGACTACACAGAAAGACCCTGTCTCGGAAAAAAAGCACAGTGGTCTATAATTCCAGTACTTGGGAGGCAGAGACAAGATTCCTGGGACAAGCTAGAGTAGCCAGATATGGTGAGCTCTGGGTTCCACAAGAGCCTTTACTGCAAAGAATCAGGTGGAAAGTCAAGGAAGACCTCACATCAACTTCTGCTGTGGGAGAATGCTCTTGTACCCTGTAAAGATTCGTCACTCATACTGGCTTAATAAAGCGATGAGTGGTCAAAAGCCAGGCAGGAAGTATAGGCAGGATGACTGGACAAGGAGAATTCTAGGAAGAGGAAGGCAGAGATGCAGTCACCTGCCAGATGCAGAGAAAGTAAGATGAGAATGCCTCACTGAAAAAGGTTCCAAGCCATGCAGCTAAACGTAGACAAGAATTACGGGTTGATTTAAGTTGTAAGAGCTAGTTAATAATAAGCCTGAGCTAAGAGGTCAAACAGTTTACAATTAATAGAAGCCTCTGTGTGTTTCTTTGGGACTGAACAGCTGAGGGATTGGGTGGAACAGAAACTTCCGTCTATAGACTTCAGACCTCCACAAGCACCCCCAGACACACAAACATGCATATCACACAAACACACACACACACAAGCCTGAAGAATGCAGGGCTCTGTTCCAGCACTTAGAAGCATTAAGATCACCTGATATTATTCCCATCACAACCTTCTACTCTTCTGTATCTTGCTACAGAACAAAATGATATATATATATGTATACACATACATATATATGTATACATATATGTGTGTGTGTGTGTGTAGTTAAGAAAAAAAACCTTAAGCATATATAATCATTTCTCTGCCTCCTACTTTAGTTGGAGAATCATTGCTGCTAACTGGAAAAAGCCCAGGTCCTACTTATCCACAAAAACATCTGACTTAGTTTGGTATGGGTTCTGGAAAAATCTTTCTTTTTCTTTTTTTTTATTATTTTCTATAAAAGTTTTATAGATGTTTATTTATTTGTCTGTGTGCATGTGACCACACATTTTCCAATGTGAATTTATGAGTGCCACGTGCATGGAGGTGCCTGTGGAGGCAGGAGGGGTACACCTGATTCCTTGAGAACTGGAGCTATAGGAATTTGCCATTTGACCAACGTGGGTGCTGGGAATGTAACCCAGATCTTGTACAAAAGCGCTAAGTTCTCTTTATTACTGCGCCATTTCTCCAGTCCTTATTTTCACTTTAATTAACAGTTACTACATTTGTGTGTTGTTTTCTCGTGCATATGCACACATGCCACTGAGGGTTGTGCATGTATGGAGGTCAAAGGTCAAACTGAAGAGTTGGCTCTCTCTTCCCACCATGTGTATCCCAGGGAATGCGCTCAGGTCATCAGGCTTGGCGGCAGGAACCCTCACCTACGGAGTCATCTTGCTGGCCCTCGCTCTTAGCGACTCTAACACTGGTCCTGAAGTCCTTTGAGGGTTAGGAAGCTACACCCTAATCTAGTAGAATGTATACCGTGTACAGCCTCCAAATGCTATTCCGGACGTATTGCTTCTCCAGTATTTGAGTATGAGGTTAGCCTGGTAACAGACCAGCTTTGCTTTCTGAAATCATAACAGAACGAACCTGACCTCTTCTGTGGACGCAAAGCTGTTTGAAAGCACACATCATACCAAGGACAAGAGACTCTTTCTAGATTACAGTTAGCCGGCTCTTTGTTAGAGTTGGTTACTGAACTCTTCACTGTCAAGTTCATCCCTCTACAGAGGTCACTTACAAAGACCCCTTGAAAAAGATATTCCCAGAAAGAGTAGAGCTCTCTAAACAGAGGTGGTAAAATGGGGTTGCATCTCCAGGGCATGCAGGTACAACGCGAAGGCATGCTACCTCTCTCGGGACAAAGAGCTTCTGAGAGAGCCACCTCAGGTCTCGGGGCCCAAACAGTCAGGGAAACTGACGGTCAGAAGGAAAGAGCTGGGGCTAGTAGGATATACAATGCACGTACGTACGCATACACGTATATACACACATATATGTATATACACCTGTCATAACTATAACTGTGACTGGCTACTGGATGGTAACAAGGCCACCCTCTCATTATTGTCACAGGCTTGCAGCACAGACAAGCCTTCTCTTGAGACACATTACTGTAACGTGACGTGAGGACTTGTGTGACCATCCACCGCAGCACAGTACAGGGGCTTGTCTCCACATCAGCCGCCCTGCTAGTGAACAGTCAGGGCCCACGCTCTGCTTCCACCATGGAAAGTGACGGAAGGGTCTAGGTAAGGGAAGCTATGCTGAGATCTGTGTCTGGAGAGAAGATTCTGGGGTTCAGAGATGGGGGGACGAGAGCAGGGTGCCCCATCTCAGCGACATGGGAGGAAGGGTATTAGGTCAAAGCAAGAAATGAGCAGCAAGACAGGAAGGCCTCTCGACAAGACGAAATGAAAAGGTGAAACCTGGAGAGGGAAAGACTGAACTCACTGACCAGGGACAGAACGGCCAGGACAACTAAGGCCAACAGAGGCAATTCCAACGGAAAGATAATGCACTTGATTGATGTTTCCGTCTGTCCCTCAGCTGGGTGTGACCCTCATGTGCTTGCTGGGCATTTCACAGGGAAGATCTAGTTGGCAGAGGTAGGGACTTGAGTCTTAGTGAGGAGCCAAGTCACCTGCGGCCTGAATGCTGCCTTCTAGGAACAGCTCAGCCACAAACCGACGGGACAGAACACACTCGTGCAGTGTGGTCCATGGGCCACCCGTATCTGACAACCTGGGGCTCAGACAAGCCTGGGGGTGGAAGGGGAGATTTTAACATTTTGCTGTAAAATGTCAGAATTAACCGTCAGAGTTGGAGAAGCAGGACAAAGGGGAAAAGCAGGGTGGGGGGTGTCGGAGGAGCAGAGAGGGCGCAGGGGACGGTGAGCTGAGCGCCGGTCGGGCTGCACCGCGGGCGTTACCTGCTATGATCCCGTCCATCTGCTCCAGCGCCGCGGCCAGCATGTCACTAGCGTCGGTCATCATCCTCCTGGGTGTCAGGGGCCAACTCCAGCCTTATCTGGGGAGGAGCAGAAGACCATGATGTGATCGCTGCACACTGTGAGTGACGCACGCCAGGGTTATTAATTCTACTTCGGACGATAACTCCACTCAGCAATCACAGAATGTCAGAAGCAGCACGGAGCTGAATGAACTGGATCCCTTCATCACCCGCCATGGGGTAGCTGTACACGGGCACCTGTGTCTCTACCAGTTACTAAGAGAGGATTGAGATCGTCCATTCAAGGCTGTTCAGAGTCCAGCAGAGAGGTGGGAGCAAGCGTTTGCCCAATGTGCAAGGCTTTGGGTTCAAAGCCTTGTTTTGCCCTGACCGCAAAACATAGTCTGGTAGGATGGTATCCACACCACCCTTCAGAGCTGCAGGTCCCTGTAAAGGACACAGGGTACTACAGAAGGCTGCTGAGGCCAGGAGGGTGCAGACTCCCCTGGGTATTCAGGTTCCTTATATAAAACTGCACAGTGTGTGCACAGAGGACTTTGAAGTCCCTCAAGATTACTTAACAGTATTTAACCCAATAAAAGTACCCTGTAACTAGATGGTACCCTGCATTCTTTGTGGGGTAAATGATAAGAAAATAAGTCCTCACGTCATCAGTAGGAATGTGTCTTTTCCAAACACTTCTGATCTGCAGTGAATCAGCTGTACTGCAACACACACACACACACACACACACACACACACACACACACACACACTTATTAATATGCCAAGAGGTACTACGTATTGAGTGGGTGTAGCAGCTCCCAACTGTGTACATAAATCATCCACAAACCTTGGATTTTGTTTCTGTTTCATGGTCCTAGGGCTCAAACCCAGCACTGTGTGTGCCAGGGCAAACACTCTTGACTGAGCTACAGCCCAATTAGCCGTAACTTTTAATCACCAGAACCACTCAGTAAAATGAGTTAGCTTTTCCATTTTATAAACGAGGACTGACAGTGTTTGATTCTTTTGTAGAAAACAAACACAGCAGTTTTGAACAAAGATCTGTGGTGTCCACCGCACACTGCATTTCTGTCTGTCTGGTTGCACCTCGACGGGAAACTTACTCTGAAGTGGCCCTGCCACCACCACGGTCTTACTGGTCGGTTATTTACTGGGTCAGAGTCTCACTATGAAGCCCTACCTGGCCTGGAACTGGCAATGCCTGGCCTCTAACTCAGAGATCCTCCCACCTCTGTCTCTCAAGCACTGGGATCAAGGTGCATGCACATGGTTTCACGGGCTAGAAGATCAAGAGAAACTGCATTTATCAGAGCACTGGCCAGCAACAGAATGGTCACTACACGTGATTTTCACATTCTTTGCGGCATTTTTGGTGCCAGCACCCACACAGATCCTCCCAGCAGGCCGAGATGAAGCTGACATCACGCTGTAGACACTGTGGTGGGGTAAACACTGAAGTGAAGGGCATGTTGCTCAAGGGAAACCTTTGCCCTCTGTTTCCAAGCACCCAGACCTCATGCACCGCTCTGTTTTCATAACGATATTTATAGGTCTGCTATCAGCTTCAGAATCAGCTCTCTACGATCCTCTTTTTCTAACAAAATTCCACATCACTCTGAAATGCTATGTTTTGCTTTGTTTTATTACTACCTTACAATAAAAACAAGTATTTATTTGATACGTAAAATACTTCAAAATTCTGACATACCATATTCAGACTTATAATTTTAAGAAGGCTACAATCTTGCTCACTTCAGAAGGAATAAAACTTCACTATCATTTTATGTGAAAATAATTAGCACAGTAATACATGCATACAGCCAAGGAGAAAGCAAGGCATAAATAAATAAGCTACACTATAAAAATAAAGGTTTTAAGAATTTACTCATGTGGCCAGGTGTGGTGGCATATGTCTTTAATCCCAAAGGCAGGCAATCTCTGAGATCAAGGCCAGCCTGGAAACCCTGTCTCAAAAACAAACAAACACACAAATAAATACATACATACATAAAAATTTATTCATAGCCTTGGGTGGGCACAGTCCACAGAGGTGGTGTACAAGTGTAACAATGACACCAGCTAGAAAACTCAAAATGTTAGAACTAGGAGCAGAAAGGATTAAGCAGAAGGGTGTGTGCAAGCCCTAAGTTTCACAATTAAGTGGGCTGTGTTCCTTTTAAAATTAGAACACACACACACACACACACACACACACACGGCCATCTTTTAAATTGAAAGTCCCTCCAAACTTCGAACCCCTTTGTCCTACTCCATCTTCTCCCTCCCTCCCTCCCGCCCTCCCTTCCTCCCTCTTCAAATGTGCACATATAAGACAGAAACAACGAGGCTCCCCTATAAATGTGGGAATATCAGTACAACAACCCCTCCAAAAAAACAAAAAACCTAAAATTAATGTCTACATAAGAAAAACATGCTCACCAAAATCAATCAAAAAATAAAGAAAAGAAAAAGGAAAATGGTCACTGTCTCACTGAGCCAGAAGGACACTCATCTTTGAGAGCAGTTCTATTTGTGTAGAACATAGCAGCGTTTGGGGCTGGGAACCGCAGCTCCGTGCTGGGTGCTGTCTAACAAGCATGAGGCCTGAGTTTGATCGGCAGCAACACAAGAACAAAGCTAAGCAACAGCAACAACCCAGTGCTTTCCCAGTGGGGTCGGCAAGGGCATCCGGCCTGCATCAGTGTCAGGAGCCCACTGAGTACTACGGCATGGAGGGCCGAGAACCCCGGACCACAGTTGTCAAGATGGTGAAGGGTCAGCTTTTTACAAGTTTCCAATTCACTAAACATATCCCTTTGTTAATAATAATGTGGCATAGTAAATATCTATACAAGTCTATTCTTTACAGGAACAAAGGAACAACCCAGCATTCCTCACAATGAGGAGGGATAAACTGTTACACATGAACAGGACAGTGTGATGTGAGGGTGTGAACAGTCTGACAGCAGTGTGTGTACAGCCGAGGAGCAAACACAAAGGTTCCCAAACTCTCAGCAAAGTATTTTACAAAGTTTAAGGCAATTAAACAGACCTACGTAATTATGTGTGTGTTAACTAATATATATATTATAAATATGTATCAATTATATATATACATACATGCATACATATATTAGAAATAAATACACAGCCAATTTAACTACGCAAAAGGGAAAAGGGGGCTAAGGTTACTGAATAGCAAAATGACTATTATATTGCTAAAATTATCAATGGGGAATTACAGTTCTGGTCATTGGCAAGCTGACTATGTTGAGTGAACTGGATGCTAAGTGAAATATAGAGACAGCTCTGAAGAAAGTAAAGAGAGACTAAAAGTAGGCTGGACTGGGCAAAAGGAGCTCCTACCACAAGTAAGATTCCTAAGCTCCCTGTGGGCATGCCCAGCCATACTCCATCCCCCAATCCCAACTGCAGTAAAAATACAGTGGGAAATGTAGGGCAGTGGGAGAGGAGGGCGGGGGGAGACAGAAAGACCGGTATGCAGAGGTTGGGGTGGGGAGTGAGGGGTAAGAGGAGCAAGCTGGCCTCAAACTGGTCCTCCTGACTTTGCCTCCGGGGTAGCTGGGACTACAGACGTGAGCCACTATGCCTGCCAGGTAGAGTTAACAGTGCTAAGAGTTAATTTGCCAAGAAGTCATAGTGAGTAGAGACGTTTCTACAATGTGGTATGAAAGCTTCAAAATACACAAAGCAAAAACTGGCAGAATTAAGGAAGAACCACACAAATTAAGCTCATTTATATTTAAGGTGACTACTGATAGGACTGAATGTAACATTATACCAATTTTTTTTTTTATCCCAGGTCTCCCTTTTTCTCCTTTCTGTTGGGATGTCAGGCGGGGTGGATAGACCCTAATACAGAAGGTTTGAGAAATTCCATCAATTACCTTGGACTAATTCAAGTTATAGAACCAAATGCCCAAATGCAGATCATACACTGCTGCTCTTGTACTCTGTAAGGATTTGTCATCCATATTGGTTTCATAAAATGCTGATTGGCCAGTAGCCAGGCAAGAAGTATAGGTGGGGAGACCAAGCTAAGAGAATTCTGGGAAGAGGAAAGACTCAGTCAGCGGTCACCACCTAGACGCAGATATGAGAATGCCTCACTGAGTGAGGTACCAAGCCATGTGGCTAACATAGACAAGAATTATGGGTTAATTTAAGTTGTAAGAGCTAGTTAATAAGAAGCCTGAGCTAACAGGTCAAACGGGGTTTTGTGTCTGGGTCGCTGGAAAATGAATGTGCAGTCTCTGTTTACAACACATTCTTCTCAAGTCTGTGTGCTACATTCATCACCCTGAGGCACAGATGCATCGTTCTAACATATACTTACCTACTGACAAAATCTCAGGTCTACAGAGGAGGGCTCATCTGGGATTTGAGTCAAGGATCTCTCACCCGCTAAACAAGAATCATACCCCCAAACCAAGGAGCCATCATGAAAGCACAGACGCACAACCACAAAATATACCTCTAAATCTCAAATGTGCTTTAGAGGACTGCGGGAAAGCTCAGAAAGGACAGCTAGATGCTATCAAGTACATCTATTAAGATGCTTCCTTGCCCACGGATGAGTTATTTAAGATGCAGCCTGGTTTAGACAGCATGTGTTGATAAAGCTATGCTAATTTTCAAGGCTCAGCTGGAGAATTTTTTAAAGTGGAAATGCTAAATAAAAATATTTTAGAAAGCTCTATGCTCTGAAAAATATTTTATGTACTCAAAAAAAGTTTTTAGAGGAAGATTTCCGGAGCTCCCTCCGGAACTAATTAATACAATGGGATATTATTCTGACACAATGAAAATTATAACCTGACAATCTTTCCTAAGATTACTTTCTAAATAAGTGTCTGTTGTAAGGAAGTTGCTTGTTCATTCCAACCGCCCAGACTCCCAAAATAATCACACAGAAACTATATTATTTAAATCACTGCTTGGCCCATTAGCTCTAGCTTCTTATTAGATAACTCTTATATATTAACTTAACCCATCTCCATAAAGGTAGTGCTCTACCAGCAAAGTTCCAG